TAAGAACATTTTCTTCAGTCCCATTAATACCCAGCCTTTTCACTTAAATGATACTATGAATGCATAATTTCTGGCATGTTATGTGTGGGAAGAGTATGTTCTCTTTGCTTATTGGCTTCCTTTTAAGTTCTTTAAAAACCTCTGAGGAAGAATCATAATCAAATGCTAATCAATTTTCATTATATCTGTTGGGGCAGGTGACCCCTGAACTGAAATGGCTCTTGGTTCCAGTGCTCATTTAGATTTAAAAATAAGAACTCCCACATACTGCCTGCATGTTACTGCACATCCCACAGAGTGCAGATGTGCAGTAACTGTGAGATTTCACATATATACCCCTGCAGCCTGCACACTGAAAATACTAAGGATGGTTAAATAAATGAAATAAATGACCTATGATTCTTTCTTAGTTAAACAAACACACAAAATACACATGCTACTTTCTCTGCAAACTTCCATAAGAAGTTTTAACAATGCCAATACAATACTTCCTTTAAAATGACTCTTTTGTTTAAAGTTTAGTTTAATCTCCACTAAAAGTTAAGGGAAAAAAAATTAAGGAAAACAGCTATTTGAACAGCAGGTTTCGAAGTTGAACATATAGCCTGTGGTGCCATTCAAATCATTGAAAAGCTCTTCTTTAACAAAAAAAACATTTACCTAATAAGGTACAATTATTTCACTCATTACTGAAAGATTGTTTTTCCCAATAATACTTTTTAAATAAGAGATGAACATGGAAATAGATCTTAACTGTGACTCTGAAAGACAGGCAAGATGAAATGTTTTCTTAAAAGGAAGTTCATCCAGGTTGCTGAGGTTGGTTCCACAATTTAGCTATTGTGAATCGTGCTGCTATAAACATTGATTGGTTGTGTCCCTGCTGTTTTTAAGTCCTTTGGGTATAGACCAAAGAGATGAGTGGATTTTTAAAAATGTGGTATATACATACAATGGAATATTACTCAGCAATAAAAGAGAATAGAATCATGGCATTTGCAGGTAAATGGATAGAGCTGGACAAGATAGTGCTAAGTGAAGTTAGCCAATCCCAAAAAACCAAATGCTGAATATTTTCTCTGATATAAGGAGGCTCACTCATAGTGGGGTAGGGAGGGGGAGCATGGGAGGAATAGAAAAACTCTAGATAGGGCAGAGGGGTGGGGGGGAAGAGAGGGGGGATGGGTTAGAAATGATGGTAGAATGAGATGGACATCATTATCCAAAGTACATGTATGAAGACAGGAATGGTGTGAAAATACTTGTATATAACCAGAGATATGAAAAATTGTGCTCTATGTGTGTAATATGAATTATAATGCATTCTGCTGTCATATATAACAAATTAGAATAAAAGAATTTTTAAAAAAGAAAGTTCATCCACACATTCCTTCAAAATTTCCAAACTTTTAGAATTTGGCCACATGGTGCCACTTGTGAAGGAAATAGAAGGATGACACAATCATAGTAGTATAACTTACTCCATACTACTATGTTTGTAGTAGTTTATTATAGTCATAGAAAACTAATACAATACCCAAGGTGATTTAGATGACTGAAAAACAAGACAATTATTAACTCGAGTTGGGAAAGGGAGACTATGGAAGAAAGGAAAATAAGTCATACTGTATACAGATTTTAAACCATGCCCACAAATCCTGTGACACTACTGTCTTGTTGTCTAAGTCCCTTCCACTCGAAGTAGAACCAGCCTCAGTGATTTGCTCATACCAATCAAAAACAGTAGATAATTCTGAGCAGCTACTGGGTTAGGCCAATTGCTACCCTGCTCCCTGGAACCCATTTTATAGAGTTCAGCAATGGATTTTCAGGCAAAACATAAATTGTCTATTTTCTACTTACTATTTATAGATTTTCCACATCCTACTATCCTCATCAGTATAACATCCTGAGGGACTTCAAACAGAAGAGGGACAGCTATAAAGAAGCAGGATTTGGCCATCTCTGGATTCTTCAGACATGACACTATCACGCCTCAACATTAACCTCTGACCTACAATAGCTAAAATAACAGCACCATAATCTAGAAAGGCAGGATATCTAAATATTTAAAGACAGGGAAGATAGTCAATTATCAGTTGAGAACATGCCTTTTTCTCCATTTTACACCCTTGAATGTTTTATCAGATCCATTTGCTGTAAAAACCCCAAGCAATCTGCAAAAAGTATTAGTCCCTACATTTCTAGGAGGGCAAACTTCAGAAATAACATTTGGCTGAATGAAGAAACTTCTTGAAAATATTTCAACAAAACAAGTCTTCCCAAGCCTAAAAAAAGAATTCTCAACTTACTAATTAAAATCAACAATATTTATGAATAAGGTCTAGCAGAGCTTATAATAAAAATACATGCTTAGCTAAGCAGAAAGCACAATATGTAGGTTCTATAAGAAACATATAACAGGAGAGACCACACATAGTTGGAGGACAAGAAAGAGCTGTATGTAGAAAAAATATGAAAACCTCCCCAAACTCAGCTTCTTCAGTTCCCTTTGCCTTTAATCCAAGCCCTAGAACTTCACCTAAAATTATCCCATTCTTCAAATTTGAACCCTCTTTCAGATCAACTCTGGTTCCCTGTTAGGGGGAACCCTTGTCCCCACCTCCACAAGTCTCTATAGAGGACAGAACTACTGTTTCTTCCCCAGGGAAAACAAGTGGCTGATCTAGACGGTAGGACTGCGAGGTTCTTTCCCCCCACCCTCCCATTCCTTCATGGGGAGGAAGGAGGAATGAGCCACATTTCCACCTTAGGCCTCCAACAATTTATGAGAAGCCCTGTACTCAATAGGAACTGGAAACAACAAAGTAGTAGTATCTGACTACCTTGTATTTTATTCTACAAAGCTGAGAATGCAGAGGGGGAAAGATGGATGAATTATTCATTCCCCCAAACATCCAGCAATCCCTTTCTCTTTCTATCTAAAATGACCTATAAACCACCAACTTGGATCAATTCCATTGTTCTCTAATGTCATTTAAAGAATATTTAATAAGCATAGGGATTAGGAACATTACAAAAAGGGTTCTTTAATCTTTGCAGGACTCTCTTGACTACCTAGTAATCTCTGTCCATTTTCAGTGCTCTATAGAATCCATTCCAAACCTTCCTGAACTCTCACAGCAGATACCCTTGGTCTTCAATTTCACTGAGAACAGGGTAGTATTTGGGATTGACGCACAAGAGCGTCTGGCCTCCACAAGCCTTTGTGCCCAGTTCAGTGCTAGCTCTTAACCTGTGCTCTGAGGCCTGCGCCCTTCCCCTTACTTAGTGACTTTGCTCCATCAATTAATTAGTCTCTCTCTGTACTGAGTCTTTGACACTTGGTTCCACCAGTTTTTTCCTCTCTTCAAAACCCACTTTAAAAACAAAGCAAAAGAACAACAAAACCACAACTCTCTTCTACCCTAGACATTCTTCTAGCTGTACCTGTCATCCTTTTAACAGCCAAGCTTTAGAAAAAAGCTAGCTCTGTCTACCTTTTTACTTTGCATTCCTAGAGTGGCCAAGTGGGTGCTACCCCTCCACCAAAGCAACTCATGTCAACAAGGCAAATGAGTTCACAAATTCAACCACCACTTTTCAGTTCTTTGACTTGACTCTCTACAACTTCCATCTTGAAACGGTCTCCCTTTGGGTTTTTATAACATCACTCCTTCCCAGCTCTCCTTTACTTAAGAAAGCTCTCAGTCTCCACTGCTCAGATCTTACATTTTAACATTTTCCCAGGATTCTATTCTGGGCTTTCCTCTTCTTAAACTAAACTCTCCCTGGGGAAGGGGGAGAGGGAGAGGAATATTTACACTACGAATTATCCCTCATGCCCATAAATCAATAAGACTAAATCTGAATTTGTTTGCTTCCTCCCTCACCCCTCCCTCTACCCGCGCTCACCTCCATCCCTCACCACTCTCTCTACAGAGCCCTCTGTATTTGTTTATCTGGCTGTCCCCCTGCCTTGGTATGCCCAGAGGATGGACACAGCCCACTAGTGTCAGCAGTGGTAGTGGCTTCTCGGAGTGGGGACTGCAAAGCATCTTAGGGGAGCTAAGGAATGTGCAGTTATAAATGGGACCCCACATGAGCTTCGCTGAACTGTGAAGATCTGAAGGGAAATTATAAACAGACGCATATACATACCTCTCTGAATTTCTTGTGTTTAGCATTAGTGCCTGGCACACAGTAGCCACTCAATTTATATTTTGTGAATTAAAGAAGTAAAAGAAGAATGGGATACCTGAAATAAGTCTGAAGAACTGATGGGATTTCAACAGCTGCAGAAGGAGGAGGAATCATTCAAGTCAGGGGAAAAGGAAAAGCTCAGGCAGAAGTGCCCCAGGGGTGGGACACATAAGGACCAATAATGTCAGGAACTCTGTGAGGCTGCGGCAGGATATTACAGGGCTTTACCTCTGAGTTGGGGTTGTACTATACATCCAATGGGGAACAAGTTCGGTTTTTTTAAAAAAGAAGTCATTTGTGATAGGAAAAGAAGAAACTGGAACAGAAGACACCTCTTAAACAGCTCTTGAATGAATGAACTAAGTGAGAAGAAATGAAGGCCTGAACTGTGGCAACTTCCTGAACAACAGCAACAGGAGTAAAAACGGGAGAGAAGGAGAAAATATTATTTTTAAAATTGTTGATGAGTAAGAAAGTTTTTATATATTCAAATGACAATGGAATTAATCGAAGTATTGATTTAAAGCACTAAAATTAAGAAGTACAAATTAAAACAAAAAAAACATTTAAACCCAAGTTTATTGGGCTAATTGATCATGAATAATACTGAGTATTAGAATGTACAATGAAACTTGGTATTAGAATTTACAATGTACTTATCAGATTTTCTTGTTTTAATAAGAACCCCAACACGCATAAGTTGACACACTGTTGATAACTGAACTGGGCATCTGTATAAACTCAGGAAAGACCATTTTACACCCTTTGCATAGGGAGTTAATAGAATATGTCCATACCGTGAAGCTGTTGTTAGCATTTTTTGTGCTTGCTTCAGCTACACTGGCATCTGAAAGGTCAACTTCGTCAAATATCAGTGACTGTTAATGAAAAAAGAAGACAAACATATTAAGTAAAACTTAGCCCCGTGCTCTTCTATATATTTTTACTATCAGGTCATGACTATGAAAGCTATGTCAAGAATAAGGACCAGAAAATGAAGAAAAAATTGAGTGATATCTTGCCATTTCTTTTAAGGATGGATGAGTGAAACCATAAAGTATAACTGAGCCATAAATCCTAAACTGAAAAGAACTTTAGAGAACCCCCAGGACAATCTTCCAATGCAAATTCTCTGGACTCCCTGAAAGCACAATAGCTACCACTTATAGGGAACCTATGGAGTTTGCTGTGCACGTACACGTACACACAGACATACGCTCACAAGCTTGTAACAACACTGCCAGGCAGCAAAGGCCAAATCATTGCTCCCAGGTCTGCTAAGTGAGAATTGAGAACTAATCTTGGCTTGAGGTCATGGTGATTTACTGAAAATTCTCAATCTTATTTTCCTCATTTATAATGTGTGTCCAAAATGATAGTGAATGTGCTCTGCAAGAAGATGTGTCTCTTTTACACTCTTAAACACCATTTTAATCAGTATTAAGTGGCAACAGCTCCATAGAAAAGAGCAATGAACCAATTCAAAATGAGTTAGTCACTGTTCACACTCATTCTGTTTTTCAGAATGAAGAAGGATGCAAGGATGGCATAACAGTGCAAATCTATTAATTGAGGAAAAAAAGTACCCCCCAATCCTTTTTGTGGTGTTGGGGACTAAACCCAGGGCCTCATGCATCTAGGCAAAGCCCTCTACCACTGAGCTACACATACATGCAGCCCTAAGGGTCGCTCTTCTCTGATAGCTTCCACTCCCCATCCCCAATTTCCACAGGGTTAAACTACTCTGCTCCCATTCAATCATTCTAACTCTAAAATGCTCACTGACTGGCAGACATTTACAATCTAGCACAGGAGATGAAACAGACAAAACCAATTATAATGTAAGAGACATTGTTAAAAGTGGAAGAGAAAAGATACAATAAAATTGGGTTCTCCAGGAAAAAAAAATTGAATGAATGATGGGATAAGGTATATTTGAGGGAGACAATAAAGAAAACAGAGGGTTTCATCAAGGGGAGAAAGGGGAGAATCATTCTGTAGATAGAAAACATAGGCCCAAAGGTTGAATGCTGTCAAGGAGTGCCTTTAAGAGACAAACAGGAAGTCAGGATAGAGCCAGGTCAGGGACGACCTTGAATATCCTGACTTTAAAAATAAGATTATTTTATTTGGTTAGTCCTACATAAGTATTTGTTTATTACTTCTATTATAGCTGCATAAGCTAAGTATTGGGTTTGTGTGTTTTTATCTCCTGGTATATAACTTTATCAGGAACATGTATTTTTTTTAAATGGGATTATCCAACTGGCACAGTAGCAAAAAAATCTTAATGTTTATTTTTTAAATAATAGTAAAATTTCAGTTTTAATGGGGACATTTTACTACAAATTTTTCTTCCAAGAATGCATTATTATTTAATTCAACTATTACATAAAATTTAGGTTGTCTTGATTTTATTTCAATATGATTTTCATTCTTCTTGCTACTATACTAGAGTAATTATTTTGTGCCAAGTATCATATATGCACTTGATTTGCATTATCACCATTAAGCCTGTTCTCAACAATGAGAAGCAACTGTCAACAACTCTCTTCATGGGCAGAAAAAGGTTTAAAAGTAAAAAGTAAAAGAAAAGGAGAGAAATCAACAATTTGAGTTTATTATAGCTAATAAATTATATTTAATATTTTACTTTAATTGGAAGGAAGGAATGGAAGGGCAAGGACAGATTAACTACACTTCAACTTTCCTATAAGATGATTCTCAGGGATAGGTATAGGGCTGACTGAAATTGACCTTTTAGGGATGAGGTTCAAGATGGATCACATTTTTACTAACACCATACAAAAGTAAGCTCATGCTACCATGAGGCTACAAGACAAAAACAGCTTATACAATCAAATTTTTAAATCCATCCACAATCTCAATTTCTTAAAACTAGTATTCAGTTGAATTACCTTTGAGTCCTTTGCATAATAAAGTGTCCGGCCTCGAAGTTTGAAGTAACGCTTTTTCCATCTTTGGAAAGAACTGGTTTGCTTCAATAGCTGTCCTTCTTTGATACTGGTCTGGGTGGAAAGAGAAGCACAATGGCACAATTAAAATGAAAACTAAAACCAAATGCCATTCTGAATCAATGATGCAAAATCATTAACATTTTGAATAATATTTTTCATGTTTTGAATAATATTTTTCATGTCTTACAAATTACAGGAGAATGTTTCTTTCATCACAGTTGAATCAAGGGAGCATGTGAGCAAAGTCCCAAAGAGCAATAATGAATTCAACATGGTTCTCTTCCTTCAAAGAATTCACAAACGGTAATGAAAGACACAGGCACACAAACTAACATTTGTAATACAGTGTGATACACATCCTGTCTAGTATATAGTAAGTATGGTAGAGGTGCAGTATATATAATGATTAGGAAAGCACATGGGCTCTGGAGCCAGAAAACTTGTGTTTAATTCCTATCATCACAGGTAGCTGGATCTTGTTAGGCAGCTTACTAAACTTTTCCATGTTTATATTTACTCATCGATAAAATAGGGATGTCAGCAGGACATACCTTACAAGGTTGGCGCAGGAAATAAATAACTAACATGTAGCGACTTAGTCCATGACATGTCTAAAGTGTTCATTAAATATTAGCTATCACAACAAATGTGCATACAAGTACTATGCATGGTGGCCCAGAGAGGGGAGCATCAGCTAACCTCAGAGGGAGTCAAAGAGATCCTCCCAGAGAAAGGCTCCACCGTGCATCTT